ATATATATATATATATATATATATATATAATCTCTTACACCATCCTCATCAAACCTGAAAGACTTTTGAATTAACTAGCCAAAGTTCAGAATATGATAGATCATAATGATCTAACCTGTAGAAGGCCACTAACCAAATATTTTTAGTGATTCAAAATTCCAGTCACTACATCAAAATTCCCACAACTGTTTTTGGGACATCCAGCAGCCATTCAGGGTTTGTTCCTCATTTGGACGGCAGAGGGAGTCCCTGGAGCACTTTTGATGTCTGTGGGACTGCAGCATCCAAAGTTCGTCGTAAATATTTTTAATATTTAATAAGAGCTCACAATGTCTGTTTGTTATTTGTATAATCCGTATTATTAATACTAACACTTTCTCACTGTCACTGGTAAAATTTGTGTACCTGTTTGCTACTAACATCAACACTGAATCGCTTTCACATGTATAACCTAAATTCAGTCCATTTTATATTCAGGAACACGAACAGCCATTGCCCTTGACGAATGTCAAAGCGTGAAACATCTACGGATCATTTTCATGTCTGGTTGGTAACTGTTTTATTAGTGCGCAGAAGCACAACAATCACATCACAGACAACGAAGCAAACTGCTAACTTGTTTTTCCCTGCTGCATGCTTTAGCAGAGCATAATCAACACACTGACTTCACACGGCTCTTTCGCTCTCTCTCTGCTCTCCCTCGCTTGGTGTCTTTCTCTGATACTGGTGGCAGATTAAGAGATCTGATACAGCTCTGGTTAGCACTGGTGCTCAAAGCCCTCCGGCTGTTTCTCTTGCATATTTTGGCACGGTCCTCTTTTGTGTAAGAGACGAGAGAGTTTCTGTTATTCAGACACTCTAATAATTAACAACAGAGATGGCATCACACAACAACAACAACACAAACATTAATACGGCAGTATCGTAAAGTAAATTAGTTTTTGCTGGTGTGAGCTTGGTCTCACCTCTCTTGGTATTTTGTGTGTCTCTGTGTTAGCATAATTATGTGTGTTTGTGTCTTTCAATGGTCACGTTTGACCTCCACTGCACCAGATCAAGGCCCCCCATAGTTCCCTCTCTGGCCTTACAATGGCTTCCCTGTGGCGTAATGTCTCTCCATTTGAGTCCTTCTCCACTGAAAGCAAGATTCTGAGATGTCCACTCAACATTCACTTCTGGTTCTCACCGTCTTGCTGTGGTACTTAATTGGAAGTCCCCAGCGTCTCATAAGATAAACGTCAATCACATATAGCATCCCTGGTTCCAGTTCACCGATCACCGCTGTTGTGACCGCCCGACGTGGGTTCAACTCCTGGAAATACTTACAGAGGACTCTCTCGTTTGCAGGACGGGATTCTGGGTCGATGCAACGATCCGTCGAGGTGTGCTTGCTGTCAAGTGGGATCTGCCTCCGATAAACACAATAGAGACTCCGCTCTTCGGTCCCCATCCAGGCCAGAGTGACGGAGTTGCATGTCCGCAACTTGTTGAAAGACTTAATCTGTAGTGTGGCGGGAAACACCGGCACGGCTCGGCGGTGGTACGCTGATGACGCTTGCATTTTGAGACAGAACTTGGACTTGCTGGAATCGCCTTTAGGGATCGTCGATGAGGAACCTGGAGCCAAGGCCTGGAGCTGGATGAGGTACGATGGGGCACCGTGCAACCATATCTGGGCAAGCTGATGTCCCACCTCTTGAGACGTCAAAGTCCGTCCTTTACTGGAAACGGTGACCTTGACTTTACTACTGCTGTTGCAGGTGTGCAAGGTAAGGAGGCCATTTTGTTGCCACCCACGAGGTTTAAATTGGAACTGATCCCCCTGAAGACTGCTTGCATCCTCACTCAGGGTGACCCATTTGACCTGGCCTTCCCGTAAGGATGTGACAGCAGGACGAGCCTCCTCGTGCGTGCGGGCGAAAGTGCCAGTGTAGGCCGCACTCGTGCCGTTAACCCTGTCCACTACGAAGACGTCAAAGTAGTACTGCGTATCCGGAAGCAGGTCTGAAACCGTGCACACGCTTTCGATGTCCCTGCACACACATCCAGGGTCCTCAAACTTGTCAGTCGTGGAAGATTCACGATTCTCGAGGGCATCCGGCTGCCGCCACCACCAGTCTTTAAGTGTTGCCCACACAATCTCCTTGCTTTGTTTGTCCCTCCTCTGTCTCTTCTGCACACTCTGTATCTCCTTTCGGATTCCCTCACGAGCAGCGCAAAGACTTCTATAGTTGTGTTTGTGGTTGACTAAGATGCAATATTCGTGATGTGGCCGGTGACCATCTTTAACAACTACGGATGAACTCGGAGCCCAGTTTAAGGTGACACTGGTCATGCCTACACCCAGAGTGTGCACTCTGGGGTCCGACGGCAGCTCCGGGAAAGCCCCCGAGGGACCAGGACCTTCGTGGAGGTACGCCGACACCTGCGTGTCCTGTTCGTTTGATTTCAGCCTTAGGATGTAGATGGACGCCGGAGCGTAGGCAGGACCGGTGTAGGTGTCTACAGCATTGCCGGTGTAGGTGTAAATCCTAACCTCTCTTCCAGAACCTCTCCACCAAACCTCTGGCATGCTCTTCTTCGAGCTCCCTGCAGAAACGAAGCATTTCAGATCAAGATCAAGCATATTCAAAAGACGGCTCTAATCAAAAGAGAGCTAAAAAACATTTGGGCGGCATGCACGGATAAGCCTGTTTTTCATGCAAACCATCATTACTTTTGTCGGCACACTTTTAGAGGGAACGTTTGGTAATCAAAGTGAATAATTTAAAGGTGTAGATGGGGACCCCCGAGTTCACAGTCTAAATGATTTATGTCACTTTATGACTTTATAATGCTGCTTTGCCTGCTAGACTAACTCTTCATTTCAGAACATGCGCATGATTACGAAAGCAGAGTGCAGAAATGTAGTCACCATAAAATGCAATGCAAAATCAAATCATCAGGATTATTCTGGTACTGTTAGACACATGAAGCAGATGTGTCTTCCAAATATTAATGAACACACTTACTAATTGTGAAATGCTTTTTGAAACACCAAGCATTTAACTGTCTAGCGTTATGAGTGAAAAATATTGATTTAATTTATAATGTCAATTGGTAACACTTTACATTAAGGTTTAATTTGTTAACATTAGTTAATGCATTAGGTATTGTGAACTAGGGTTTATTAATATTGATTGTTAATTTTACATATACAATATACATACATTTTTAACATGCACAAATTTCAGTTAACAATGAACAACAGTATATTTATAATTACAATTAAATGAATAGTTCACCCAAAAATGAGAACTTAATTTACGCACTCTCATGTCATTTTAATACTGTACGACTTTCTTCAAAATATTTTATTTAATGTTCCACAGAAAAAAGAAAGTCATACAGGTTTGGAATGACATAATGGTTAGCAAATGATAATAGAATTTTCATTAACCTAGATTAAGAAATGCTATACATTTTTTTTCTTTGTAAGCTCACAGTACCTAATTCATAAACTAATGTTAACAAACAGACTCTTATTGTAAAGTGTTACTAAAAATTAAAATTAGAAACAGACGTCAATGTTTATCCATCCAGACTGTGCTTGCATATGTTGTATCTCTTTGTTTCTGTTTGAAAATGTTTTTCTTTCTTGTCTTTTCTCTGTCAGGGAAACAGCCTGGAGATTTGGAGATGGATAAGAGGAGAATCTTCTGTCCACAGAGGCCCTAAAGCAACACAACAGCAGTTTTACACCTGCTAATTAAATCAGTGAGCCTCGAGCGACTGCTTCGCTTCTTCATTAAAGCCTCTGAAGGGATGTAACCCATCCGCCCTTTGGATATAAAATCCCTGAGTTGTCTGTTAGTCCTGGTTAGGTCTATGCCAGCGCTCCCCAAACACAAACACACGTACGTGTTTGCATGCATGCACAAATATACCTTCAAGCAGACACAAGTCCATGAATAAGCATACATACACACACAAACTCACAGTGTGCTTTCTTAGGCGGTTTATCCTTCAGGGTCCGAACAGCCAAGCTCCATTCGATGGGCACTGAACAGGGGCTCACAGTAACGGACAGCAAATCGGCTTTCTTCTTTAGCGTGAAATACAGTCTGAAACACAGATCAGTATCTGTATGTATTAGACACAGCAAATATGATTTGTTTGGTCTAATTATTCATAAGAGCTCTGAATAAAATCTATTTTTATATTCCATAAATTAACCATTAATCATAAATTAATCAGTCTAACAGTCTCCTTTAACAATATGCACCAGCCAAATTGTCTCATTAAGAGATTCTAATTCACTCTATTTGTATTCCTAATTTTTTAAACAAAAAACATGTACAGTAACTGTGACTTAACATCTCCTGAGACTTTGGGCCAGTTGCATAAACATAGCCACTATGTTAAGACTGTCTTAAGAACTATAGTTTGACCAACTAGCAGTTAGCCAACGGGTAACCAGTCTTGCTTTTTGGATTAAAATTAAACCAACCTACCTTTCTGTAACTGATTTTAAAAAGTTATGACCAGTCTTGAAGAAAAAAAATAGATGACTAACTTTTTAAGACTAGTCTAAGCAGTTTATGCAACTGGCCCTTTGCATCTTACAATGTGGCCTATTATATTTTTTATTCTAAAGCAGAAATAGACTTCCCTAAAAGACCCTCTATTGAAATTAAGCTGCAAAAATATCTTGTTACAAAATCATTGGATTTCTGACATCAGAAACCCAAAGACTTTAACACATGAATGCCCACATTTATGAATAAATGCCTACTCAGTGTTCAGAAACTTGATCCACACAGTCATATTATTATTTCTAAACACCATAGTAAAGATAAGAGTAAAATATAGGAATGTCCAACCAACCTTGTGCTGTGTTCCTTGTTCTGAATCATTCAGAAGGATCTTAACATTAGAAATTGAATGGTTGAAGTTCAACAAAGTCCCTGATCATTTCAGTACGAACTTTACTGTTTGAGTGAAATTGCACTGTATTGTGAACATTTGGCATCTATATTGTAACTGCCAGTAAATACACTCGTGAGACGAAGGCTGTTACTCCTTTCTTATGTGAAGAGAGCATTTATTTTAAAGGAATAGTTTGCCCAAAAATTAAATCTCAAAGTCTTAAGTGCTTTTTTGTCCATACAATGGAATTCAGTGGCCACCAAAAGTGTTCGGTTACCAGCATTCTTCAAAATATATTTTTTTGCGTTCCACAGAAGAAAGAAATGCATACAGGTTTAGAGCGACATGTGTGTGAGAAAATAATGACAGAATTTTCATTTTTGGGTGAACTATCTCTTGAACTATAAGCCTCAGAGAGAGGGTGAAAAAAGTGGTTATTAAAAACTAAATGATGACTGTTTTGGAACAAAACAATGTACTGATATAATTTAAAAAGGACCTCAGTGAAGAAAAAAAAAGTTAATGCTAAAAAGTGTATGACATGACGTCTTTAATTAAATAACATGCCGCAGAGCTTCCTTGGGGACTGTTTGACTGCTGTTGTTTGCACAAGTTGATCTGCTAAAGAAGGTGAGGAGAAACAAAAGCAATGACTCCAGAATGACTGATCTCTGATAAGCTTCTATCAATCCATCGCCGTTGTTTAGATATGCATCTCCACAAACCTTAATGTTTACAGATCACAGCTGATGCCAGGTACAGCATCACTGTAGCATGCTCCGCTCAGGCAGGAAACACATTCACTCCCCCTCCGTGAATAACATCACACTGGGCAGAATTTGGTGAACCTCCCTCGGTGCATTCTGGTAATACCAGCCATTTGGCAACAGCCACTTTCTCTGACCTTGAAACCCTGCTTGTGCGGCTGCCTTCAGTCAATGGTTTTCTGCATCTTCAGCTGCTCATTATATTATTGCTATGGAAATAGTCAGACATTAGATTTAAGATTCAGCGTTTGTTTAATGTGATTTGGATCTCTTATTTGCATGCCCCTGGCACACCGCCTTGGCACATTATCATAATATTGATTTCATTCTTCTGGTAATCAGGTTTAACTTTGACCTTGACAACGAAACAAAAGGTCATAGTTTTAGTTTGAGGGATTGCTTGCAGGTACACTTCAGGTGTGTCCATCCCTTAACCTTTTAATGCAATTTTTAGTAAGAGTTTTGTGTGGAAGGCACAGTTACAATCTTTTAATAGATTAATTAATTTGATTTATGATCAGCAGCTCCTGCCCCGCGGCTGTGCATTCAAACTCATTCTGTTCTTCTCTCTTTCTCTCGTTCTCGCGCTCAGTCTGAAGCCTGACACCACTTCTGTTACGGGTGAGGGAGCAGTTCTCACTGTGATTCTCACTGGCTAGTGTTGCTAATGGAAAAAGAAAGCTGCAATTTTAGCTGCTTGAATTCAATGGGTTTGATAGAGAGGAAACTGGGAAATCTGTGGCATAATTTTAAGCCCATTAACAAGAATCAAACAGATAAGAGGAAATAATTGACCCATCATTGATTTCAGAGTGTCACAAAAAGAGTTTGTGTTGCTAGTAAAATGTCGCTTAATGTCTTTTCTACAGACTGTTTACAAAGTAAATATTGTAATATACAGTGGTGACACAAATTATTAGAACACTAGTATTTTCACCAGCTAGAAAATGGGTTTAAGTCATTTATTTCTATCTTTTGCTGTAGTGTATCTGTAGGAAATATCAGTTTACATTTCCAAACATTCATTTTACCGTTAATTGTAATAATCAAGTGAGATTTTTGTTTGCACAAGGAGTCTGACAACAGCCAGTGCTCCACACAGAGATCTGATCTGATCATCATCCAGTCCTGTCCGGAATGACATGAAGAAACCGAACAAACTGAGACAGACTAAATCTAGAAGAAGTGTGGCAACGTCTCCAAGATGTTTCAAGAAACCCATTTTTTGTGTACCTGCCTCTCATTGGAGAAATTCTTTATTGTCTTTTTTAGCCTGTGTGTGTCTGTGTGTGTCTTTTACCTGCGAGTGCGTCCTTTAGGCAGATGTACTGGTGTGACCCTGTTTTCACTCAGCCATGTTGTGGGGTGTAATGTCACTTCATTTTCAGGTGCCAGGGCATGGATGGTGCCGGGACCAGAAAAGAGGGCCATGGCCAGGCAAAAACACCAGGAGAGAGCCATCCTCGTCCAACAAAAACGGCCACTCACTTGCACTTGCCTGGAAAACACAGAATGTCAGTTTTAAACAAGAGAGCTTTTATAATGTTTTTTTTTTCAACAACTTTTGATAGAATATCTCACTAAAAACCAAAAGGATGATATTAAAGGACAATGATGCTTTTCTTAACTGTTTAACTGTATAGCGCTACTGCAGTTCTCCCTTCTTAAAGATAGCTGCATCTGAATTCTCATACTTATAGTATGTACTAAATATGATTAAGAACTTTAAGGACCTCTTTACTTGAGGTATGTGCTTGAGTTCTGAGGATTTACTACATTTGCCATGTTGCACTGTCCTTTGACCCATGACATACTAACAACAACACTGTTAAAAAGTTTTTAACTTCAAAAAAACTTTTAAGCTTTTTTTTTTGACTAAATACTGTTGATATATTCATCATTTCTAAGTCACTTTGGGGGGAAAAAAAAGCTTTAAATGTTTTTGGTATAGCACATGAAATGAGACATCCGTCTGACAGTTGTCTACCATTTTTGTTTTTAACATTTAGAAACTGATGGTCCACTGGTTGCACAATTCACAATCTCTGCAGATGCAGTATGTCATTCAGATATTGTTTGCCTACCACTGTTTAACTCATGTGCATACTATTTATTACAGAAAAACGCAGAAGCGTACAGACTGTAGTGAAAAGTTGATTTACTGTATCTTGTCAGTCAGTCCATCTAGATTACAAACAGCTCATGCTTTGGCTTATGAAAGCTCCAAGACAAATGAGGACGTCTGGAAGTTTCAAAAGAGCTGATAATTCAGCAGAATTTTGACTTTATCTCATTTCACAACGTGTAAATCCATCATCCTTGAAACATCTGCCTTGTCCTTGATGTGAAAGTTGGAGATAAACTGCCAACTTTAAATTAAAATTAAGATTAAAATCTTCTAAAACCTGTCAAAATCCAACTCTGATGGCTGAAACTCACATTCCCGGGCTAAATCCTGGGAAGATCTGCACTCGGGGCTGATGTGTTAGATGACAGTGCTGTTATTTATCTCTCAAGGTGATGACAAACTCACTTGTGTTTCTACCGACATTCAGCACAAAGATTATTCATTACGGCTGACAAGCGAAGAACAGCTATCAGTCAATCAGTTGATTCTCACACTCCATCTGTTGTGAGGGCAAGATGAGAGAGAGAGGGAGGGAGAGAGAGAGAGACGCGAGAGGACGAGGGAGAGAAAGTTAGCCTCATCCCAGCTGATGATTCAATGATAGCAGGAAACATTTGCCTTTATTCAGAGAGAATTATTTATATGAGCAAAGAAAATTTGCTATCCGCTAACACTCAGTGTTCTATGCTTTGACACTCCACACAGAAGCCTCACGCTGCGAGACGAGAGCGGCACTTCAGCGATGCCTGGCAAACACTCACTTGGTTCTGTCTCTATTTTTAACAGGCGCCATCAAATTGGTTTACCGTGTAAATATAATTCAACTCCACTCATTATGTACGAACAGCAGGCTGCTTTGGTTGTATAAAAA